CTCTAAAAAGCACTCGCTGAGTGCTCTTCCTTGACTGGGCCCAAGGTCAGCACAGGTCACACAGCTTCCATTAGGTAGGTGGCCTCAGGAGAGGAAAGCAGTGGTGGGTGCATCGCTCTGCAGAACTTGGAGGGCTTCCTAATGGTGATGCTAAAATGCAGGGGTGGTGGGTGTCCTTACCACACTAGCAGCAGTCTGCACCGGTTAGGATGAATTCCAAATTTCTCTCTCCCTGGGCATGCTGAGAGACATAATTCACGCTAGCAGTTAATTAATGCTTTAAACATGGAACGACATTGCTAAATGTTTTCTCTTTGGCTTTTTTTCATGCAGTAATGTAATTTCTTTACAGAAGATCACAGTTCTTTACACATTAGAGGCATTGCTTATATACAGAGACCTGACTAGTCTCGGATCCTGTGCGTAATACATGTTACAAAGGCCTGTGCAGCGGCCTGAAAGTTCCTCTCTATTGCATCCTTTGGACCCCAGTGTGGATCAGACGCAGAGCACTTACTTAGGCTTGATTTGGCCCAAAATAAATTGAACCAGAGCACAGGCTTGATACCAATCCTCCAGTAATGGAGAGGAGTCTGTCTTCAACGGGCTTTCAGTCTGGATCCTGTGTTCAGATCCAGCTGACCAGATATGGGAGCAATCATTTACAGAAATACCAAACTATTTACTGAATATTCACTACATTGCCCTCTGTGCAGAGGAACTTGCACAGCTCATAAAAGATGAGATAAAATAGATGAATTGTATGGTTGAGAAATGCATGTTAACAGTACATGCTTTTCTTTGTTTGTTTGTTTGCTTAACAGAAAGCAATTATTTATTGTAGACACATTTCCAGTGACGACAGGCAAGTTTTGCAATTGCTTCCAATTGGAGAAGTGCTGTCAAATGGGTTAGGAACTTCTCCCTTACAGAAGAAAAAAAATGCTCTAGAATTAAGTATGACATACATTTTCTATAGCGTTGTCTTGCAGCATATTATAAAAATTCAGGGAATTATCTCCCTGCTGAATGGTTCACAAAGCAGCAAGAAAGGCCATCATTTTTTATTATATAAATTCTCCAATGTTATATTTATAGAACTTCACCGGTTCTATCCTAGTCCATCAGCGTAAGCACAGGCTTTCAGTTGCCACTGCCTGCAAAACCTGCCTTGGCAGTGAGTAAGAGTAGAAAGGAAAGCCGTAAAAATCTGGGCTGCTGTGCTGTCGACTCGAGCTCCTGGTGTTCTTTGCCATATTGTCTTTCTTTGTGATTGCTTTTCATGAGAGCTGGGTCAAAAGTGCTGCAGAAAATTACAGTAATTGCCTTGGTGTGGACCTCAGAGTGTGCAGTAGGGCTGGATCCCCTGTAACGTGGCTCTGTGTGCAGGCTGCCTGCGTCCCCGTGATGCTCAGCAACGGGTGGGAGCTGCCCTTCTCGGAGGTGATTGATTGGAACCAAGCTGCCGTCATCGGGGATGAGAGATTGTTATTACAGGTAAGGAAAAGGCTGTGGCCTTCAGCCGATCTGCTGGTTATTGCTGCTGCCCGTCTAAATGGACGGGGAAGATGAATCCGAAAGGTCAGGGCTGTAAAAAAAAAACTGGCATGAAAGGACTGTCTGTGGCCCACTGGCTATGAGCTCATTTAACGTGACATCATCCACTGTTTGACCTGAAGGTCTAGGCCACATTCCTAAATGGAGGATACTTTGTTTATTTATTTATTTATTTTAAGAGCACAGAATTTCCTTTAGTGTCTGGAGCAGCACCTCTCTGAGACAAGGTGGTCTGGGAGCAGATGCTATCATAAAACACAAAACACTTGAAGCCCCTCTCTATTCTCATGCTTCAGAAATACCTTGTTCTTGGGGGACATTGCCAGTGCTGCCTGGCTGCCTGGCAGGTCCCACAAGGACTCCTCAGGAAAGCAGGTATTTCCTCAAGAGGGAGGGTTAATACGCTACACTTTTATGAGTAGTAGTGCCAATCTCTTTCATGATATCTGAATCACATAACATTTCTTTCTAGAGCAATGCTCATATCAATTGTTAATTTCATTGAGATCATGGAACAAAAGTGAGCTGAGAAATTGGAAATGCTGTGATTCCTGCAGCATCTATTTTTGTTGCTAAATTCTGTGGGCTTTTTATCTTTTTCCTAACAGTTTTTATAGTCTAACTACATCTTTTTAAAGTATGTGGAGAAATTGAATCAGGAAACATTATTGAAAAATTGCTTTCCCCAGAGTAGCATTTATTGGAAGGCCATCACACAGTGTTAGGCTGAGGTCCAAGAGATCTGTGTGATCCCAAATATATAAATTTCCACCTTGGTTGCACGGATGTTCTTCCTGTCCTCTTGAAGGCATGTTGATATTAGTAGGTAAAAGGCAGGATATTTCAAACTTTTTTTGTTGCAAAAAGTGGATTTTGCAGACTGAGCTAAGTTAGGATAGGAGTTGTGAACACAGTAGCTGCTGCACATGGATTGCCTCCCCCTTCCCGAGAAGAGGGTTTGGGTTTTTGTGGAGTTCAGCTCATTCCCAAAGTGACAAGCTATTGTCAGCTATGGAGAGAAGCCCTCGAGGTGCAGATGTCCTGGCTCCCCAAATATGAAGTTCCTTGAAAATCTCATTAGATGCCTATTTACTTGTCTAAAGACATAAATATTTGTGAAAAGCTGGCCTAGCAATCCTGCTAAAGGACTACCTATAGTCACTAATGAGTAACAAGCTGCAAATATAAAAGGGACATTTGATTTTTTTTGCTTCTGTGGACAGCATTTTTTTTGTGAGCAAAATTATTTCACTCTTCAAATAATAATAATTTGCTGATCTTCATGCTTTCCTGTAACACGCCATCGTTCTCTCCCCAGCTGCTTCCATGCTGAACAGCTACTCCACCATTATTAACAGTGTTTTTAAAGAGCTGGCAGAGGGCCTGAATGTCTGCTCTGGGAAACGGTTTTGTTATGTTACAGTTTTTCATTTCCTGTTTTAGAGCAGCTCAGATGTTTTTATTTGCATATTCCCCTCATCATAGCACTAGGAAAGCTTAATCCAGCCTCTCTGCAGTTATTTGTGTTCCATGATTTTTTCCTCCCTCCCCTTCCTTATTATTGAAATGACCTTTTATTAAGACGTCATCCAGCTCTAATAATTCCAGTGTAATCCTGTCAGATTAGTATTAATACATCATTTTCCCCACCTGTCTTTGTGGACAAGCAGATTAATAACTAATAGGCAAATGCAGTTAAAACGGGAGCCCTGATTTTTCTTTCCAGCTATTGCAACAGAGCAAGGCTTTTTTTTCCACCTTGGCATATACCATGGCCTGTGCAGTAAGAACTTCTTGCAGGAACCTTCATGGCCAGAACAGCCTTCGCATTCCAAAAGCATAGCTGGGAAGGAGCCCTGGTTTTCTATCCTACCCATACACATATGCACATACATGTGAGGTTGCATGTCATGCCACGAAATGTTTAATTCTGGGGGAAAATGCCATATTACCACTGCAAAGTGCTTTTGGTTTTGTGTTTGTTGTTGATAATGATCATGGGTGTATCTGATTTATGAATGTCCATGGACAGCAGATACAGATAACGTTCAGCATCCCTGCACTTAGTGGACTCTGGCTCTAAAAATGATGAAACGAAAGAATACTCATCCCGAAAGATAAAATTTGATACAATTGTGTTCTAATCTGGAATAATGAGGTAATTGGTAGAAAAACATGCACTAGTGCTTGTTTTAACTTCAGCGTTTCCTGCTTGCTTTGCAGTGAATATTATAGAATCATAGAAGGCTTAAGGTTGGAAGGGAGCTCTAGAGATCATCTAGTCCAACCCCCCTGCACACGCAGGGTCACCTAGAGCACGTGGCACAGGACTGCGTCCAAGCGGGTTTTGAAGATCTCCAGAGAAGGAGACTCCACAACCTCTCTGGGAAACCCGTTCCAGTGCTCTGTCACCCTCACTGTTTGGTATCATCAGCAAACTTGCTGAGGGAGCACTCTGTGCCTTCCTCCAGGTCACTGATGAATCATTTGAACAGGACTGGACTGAGGATTGACCCCCGGGATGCACCGCTAACCACAGGCCTCCAAGTAGACTCTGTGCCACTGATCACCACCCCATATATATTTTACATCCCGACACAGAAGGGTTGCAGCAAGGGAATGATTCTCCCTTTGACCATTTTCTCTTGTTCCACCTTGCAGCAGCCCTTCCTGTGCCATAAGCTCAAATTCTGTAAGGGAGTTAATGAGTGTATTAGATTAAGGTCTTAGAGAATGGGGATTATCACATCTGATGCTGCAGGGCTCCGTGAAGCTGACGTCCTGCTGGAAGCTCTGTCCGGACCGGCAGGCAAACAATGTTGTAAAGGAAAAAATCACTGATTCCTAAGGAAATGCATTACATGCAAATGATTAAAATTTCCGTGTTTCCTCAGAGGAATTTTTCCTCTGAAACCGTTTCATTCCGGAGCGTATGGAACCAAATAGTAGTCATTGCCAGATCTCACTCTGAACACTGAAGAATAAACAAAGTGAGTTGTGCTCAGGCGAAGGGGAAGTGCCGGGTTGCAGGTAAGCTGTGCAGTGAGGAGGATTTGGCAGAAAGCAACCCAGGAAAGCAGTTTGCTTTCACAGCTAGCGCCGAGGTGTAAGATGGGCGAGAAATGAGTCACTGAGAACAAGGTGGCCTAATTTGAAGTCCCCAAAAAGGAGGTGCAAAAGCACAGCTCCTCATTCCTAGAAGAAATGAACATAAATGAGAAAAACAGCCCAGGTGCCTTTGTGGTGTTATCAGTGGGCCTGATACAGCTAGGTTTTTAATCAGCGTTGCATAGGCCTCCTTGGTTTTCATTGGTAAAACAACTGACTCCCGAATTGAAGAGCTGCTTTAACGGAGAGAGGAAGAAAGAAGCATTTTTCTCCCGTAGGAATAGCAGGTGTGGTGGGAGGCGCTGTTCCTGCCACCCACAATAATTAATAAAATGCAGTTTGATCCGCAGGCTCCCCAGAAACGGAGCCGTGCTTCCGATGTTGCTGTGTTCACCTCGAGGCACTTAGCGTGGCCATGCTGTGGTAAATGCAATCCCCCATCCCTTTAATATGCTTGGAGAGTGGAGATTATTGTTGGTCTCTCAAGTCCTGCAGGTACCAGTTTGTTAAACTGCCGGTCCATGACAAGCTTTGTGCGTGAGGGATTTATTGAGGAGCCCCTTGCTGTGCCGTGTCACCGCTCGCGGGAGAGGAGCAAGGGAGAGGCAGCTTCTGCTGCCATAGAAACCACCAAATCCTAAAAGAAAAGAGAAGTGAAGTTTTCTTGTATTCTATAGTTGGCCAGTACCAGAGATCCTGAAGGACTGTGTGTAATTCCCTTCCCATCAGGGCTTTTCCTGCTGGTTTACCTGCTGCGAGAGGGAGCGCTGGGAAGCCCAGTCCATGTGGCTTGGTATTAATTTGTTGAGGTTGCAGTGTTTTCTGAAGCTAATGACTATCTTCCGTCTTGTATTGCAGATTCCTTCTACAATCAGGTCTATCCATCAGGATAAAATCCTAGCACTTAGACAGCAGACACAGTTCTTGTGGGAGGCTTATTTTTCTTCAGTTGAGAAGATTGTATTGACTACACTAGAGGTGAGTAAACATTACCTGGGCTTCCTCACTGTCCAGCCCATCCTGCTCTCGACCAGCGTCAGACCTTGACTTTCATGATGAGGGATTGGTCACTGGAAAAAAAAATGTGGCATCTTGATAGCTTTTCTGCCCTAAAGAAATACTTTTGTCATTATTGGAATCCGTGTTAGAAAACGGACCTAGTGAAAAATGGGAGCTATCTGACATGTGGAAAAGTTGTCATGTGTGATCTTGCCTTCACAAGGCTTTATGGCTTATGAATCACTATTCTTGTCAGTGATAATGAACACAATTCTGTAAGAAACCTTTCTAGAATTCATTTGAGGAAAAAAAAATACTTTAAATCTCCTTTTCTACCATCCCTTAACATTTTGATGCCCTTTGATGGGGCTGTTGGTCTGGCCGAAGGAAAAGAGGAACTGGTAAATCACTGAGTCTTATCTTTACACACAGGGTAAGGGAAAGTCCTGGTCATCCCTATGAAATATTAAGAAACAATCATAATTAGGCTTCTATTAAGCAGTGAGACAGATGATCTCAAATGCAGAGAGAATCTTTTCTGAACTCAGTGACAGAGGAGAGATGAAAGACTCTTTAGAAGTAGGGCCCAGGCTACAATTTCAAAAGCAGGTTTTGCTTCTAATTGTTCCGCAATTTTGCACATGAATTTTTGACACACTTTTACCACCATAAGTGCTTCACTTTGTAGGTGCAAATGTATTCGTCTTATGCTAATGCTTCTGCAATTGCGTCTGTCTTTGTGCACGGTTGCAAAGCTCTGTGTTGCCTGCTGTGCTTGCTTTGCCCTGAAAGCTGCGGGTGAGAGCTGCTGCCTGTTGGCCTGCAGTGCAGGTTGCCCATGGCTGATCTACATGCAGCTGCTACCAGATATCCCTTAGGTTTCGTCTGTGCTAGTGGGGAGAAGGAGCCAGAGAGCATTTTCCAAGCCCCTGGCATCACTGTCCGTGCTCCCATGTGATGCTGTCCTCCCCTCTGAGAAGAGGATGGCCCCATCCCTGCTGCCTGTTGGTAACTACTCTGCATCCTCAGGCTCTCTGTGAGCTCTGAAGAGGTAGTGCCAATTATCAGAGCTCCAAACCATGGCAGAATCAGACTAACTAGCTGGAAGGCCTGGGCCAGGACTTACCTTCCCCAAGTCTATTTTATTCCTGTAGAAGTGCCCTTTGAGGCAACCAGGGTGCCTCATGCTATGGGCATCCCTGCCCCAGCCCTGCTTGCACCGTTATCGTTGAGGAGTGCACAGAGAAGAGGACAGCCCATTCTTCCTCCCTGCCTCTCCTTGCCATCCTGGGGACATCCATGTGGATGTTACCTGCCATTCCCAAGCTCTGCTGTCACACCAAGCTTCCACACAAACAAACAGGCTCATCTTCACTGGGGTGAAGCAGCAAAACCACCAGCCAAGCAATGAGGAACCTGCAGTTTCCACTAGGAGAGGAAAAGTTGAAGAGAAAACAGAAAATATCCTAAATATCCTGGAAGTTTTCATTTAATGAAACCAACCAAGGAGCGCAGGCTTGTTATTGAAGTTGTGTCTGGGCTTTTCTTTGTTTGCGAGGGTGATTTTGTTTTGAGGATTTTTGTTTTTTAGTTCAGGACTCTCAACATTGCTAAGATGATTAAGAGGGGTTCTGTTCATATAAACAGATACTTATTTGACATTTCAACTCATTTGAGTCACTTTCCTTAAGAAATAAATAAAACAATTGAGAGTGGTTCTTGATGTCATAAGGCTGTTAGCAGCATATCCTCTTTAAAAGTAAAGTAAATTCCCAGCAGGACTATTTTTCTGGTGAATTTTATCCATATTCTCTTGTAACACTGTAGTATCACCATGTTCTCATGGTGCTAAATATCAGCAGAATAAGACATCAACCTGTCTTCTGACTGCAATGCTATGACTTGTCCAGCTATAGGTGTTAGTAGGGAAAAATCCTTCACCAGCTCAGGTGGCTGCAAAGTTTTCATGTCTCTGCTCTCACTTTTATCCTGAATACCTGTTATAACACCAAGTCAGAATCTAAAGTCCTTTTCAGAGCGTTCAGGGGCCTGGGCCAAACAGTTCATTGCCTGAATTTCAAACTCAGACTCAAAGTTCAAACTCAAGGTTTTGAGTTTCAAACTCAAACCCTGTCTCGGTGCTGAGGAATGGCCTGGGACATGTAGTTTGGTTTAGGGTCTGCCACAGGCTGGTAAGTGGGAACCGAAGAGCGACGGGCTGCAGCAAGTGCCTTCCCAACACACACTGTATCCTACTCTGCACATTTTCCACTTGGATCTTTGTTAAAAACAACCCAAAGTTGCCTAAATCTCTTGCAGGATACTCACTCTTCACCTCAGAAAGAGGAATGCAGAAGGAAAGCACGAAGGATAGGCAAGAGGTGCTTGATGCTTCACTGGAGCGTACTAAGTAGCAGCAATGATTAAGGCTGCTTCTTATGGACTTTTTAAAGGCAGACTTAACATGTGGGGACGTTGTATCATTAATGAACTCCAAGAGAGAGGGAGATACAGTCAGAGCTCCTAACCCTTTCTTTCTGTCCTTTCTCTCATTAAACTTCCCTGTTGCCTCATCACTGGAGACGCAGTAGAGCTACTATCTGCCTCTGCAGCATGCGTAACATTACACACTTGGAATTTTAATTGATTAGGCCTCCATATTATCTTTTTTTTTCCTTCCCTGCTCTCCTCCTTCCAGCTTGTCTTTTCTCCTCTGTCATTATGGACAGCTACATTCCTTATGCTGACCATCAGCGTGCTAAATTAATCTCCTGTTCGTTAACAGTGATTTGGTGCGGGGCTCAGCTCCCCAGCCTGGTGCGCAGGAGTCTTGGGGAGATGGGGTGCAGCGGAGGCCGCCTCGATCGC